GACACTCTTAAATCTAGGTGTCTTATCGCTACAAATATTTAAACTTTCATACTGATAGTGGCACTCTTAAACCTAGATGTCTTATCGCTACAAAGATTTAAACTTTCATACTGATAGTGGCACTCTTAAACCTAGATGTCTTATCGCTACAAATATTTAAACTTTCATACTGATAATGACACTCTTAATCTCAGATGTCTTATCGCTACAAATATTTAAACTTTCATACTGATAGTGGCACTCTTAAACTCTAGATGTCTTATCGCTACAAAGATTCAAACTTTCATACTGATAGTGGCACTGTTAATCTCAGATGTCTTATCGCTACAAAGATTCAAACTTTCATACTGATAGTGGCACTCTTAATCTCGGATGTTTTACAAAGATTCAAACTTTCATACTGACTTTTTTTACTCAGCTTTATATTCTGCTTACATGACGTATAGTAGAAGGAGTATAAAATGAATTCTTTCACTTTTTGTGTTTTCTATTATAAATAAGTTTCTTAATCACAGAATAAATTATGCTAAGTATAGACACAATCATCTGAAAATACCGTTTTTGCCAAAATGTTTGCACACTGTTCTATATTGATGTTATTGTCTACATGCATGGAATAATTATTGAGTAAATAGCTGAGAAGTAACAGAGAAGGTAATGTATCATCGGACATCAATGTACGAGTTGTTATACTGGTTTCTATAAGTTGTTTTGAGCATTTGGTCATCAAAACACACACAAACACTTGTTTTGTATAAAAAAAAAAGTGTATTTTTGGTACAATCTTTTACGAAACAGATCAACGCTTTGTTCAGAAAATTTCTCTGTACTTGGTGTAGAGTTATGGCTCGTCACGTGCCAGAAGTTACAGGACGTCAAACTGTTCGAATGACCAGAAATGGTATGAAGTAAACGGACATTACCAGAAAAGTTGGTTACTCCAAGTGTACTGTATCTAGAACCTTGAAACGCCATCGAACTACAGGAAATGTTGTTACAGGAAAATTTTACTAGTAGACGTTGTTCCAGGAAAGTTTACTAGTAGATGTCGATAAACTACTACCCGATCAGGTTAACACGCCAAGGTTGAAAAACGTCTTGCAACATCTTACAACAGGAATGGCATATTTGCAAGAACAGCTATCTGCAAAATGATATTAACCAGAATTCACCACCCTCATCATGTTACTTCGGCAAGACAGCATGTTAACTTATAGTTAGGATACTCGCAACATGTCATCTTTTCAGATGAGTTCTGTTTCCGACTTGTTAAAACTGATAGTAGGATTAGTGTTCGTCGTTTGCCTGGAGAACAAATGAGGAAAGACTGTTTTTCCCACAGAGAACACACAAGAGGTGGTGTAGTACATGTTTGGGCAGCTATTCATCATGGTGGAAAACTACTCTTCATATACACCAGGGAGATGTCAATAGCTCCTCCTACAGGTATCACATGGAGACGACATTTCTACCATATGCTACGGTAGGTATTGTCAATAACTTTGTGTTCCAGGATGACAATGTCACTTCCCACAATGCGCATACTGTAAAAGATTATCTCGACCAGGAGGACGTTACAAGACTGCCGTGGCCAGCAAAATCTCCAGATTTCAATCCCATTGAGAACTGTTGGGCAGAACTGAGCCGGAAAATTGCTAACCACGACCCTAAAACAGCTACTGTAGCTACGTTTCGGCGTCTTTTAGTGACAAGTTAGGATAAAATCACGGTGGATTACATCAATAACCTCATCGACAGCATGCCACGTCGCCTTGCAGATATTATTAGAATACGAGGAGGACCAACCAAGTATCAGATATGTAATATAAGCTGATATAAGGTTATTTATAACAATCTGATGTTATATTTTGTCATTATATATGCTTCGATAAGTTTTTGTAATAGGTAAAATGCTGAATTACACATCTTTTTATAAGTGTCTGATAAAATTGTTTGCTGTTCTAATATATCGTTCATGATGTCCATAGAACCTGTCTCATTATACAAATTATATATGTAGAGGTTTAATATAACATGTATTTCTAGGTTGTACAGCGCTAAATGTATTTGTATTCCATCTTAATAAAATGATATTGTTTGTTACAAAATATTCAAACATTTTAGCCAAGACTCTAGAAAATAAATTATAAAAATATTTGTAAGGGATAGAAAAATTTAAGGCCAAAGTTTCATTCAGTCTCCTGGTGGGACAGCGGTAAGTTTTCTGACTTACAACGCTAAATTCCGGGATTAAATTCCACGCAGTAGTCACAGCAGATAGCCGAATGGGCTTTGCTATATAACAAATAAATTCAAACAAACGTTTCGACCAAACGATCCTACACCAGGAAACAATATCCAAAGCATGACAGCCGAACAATTAAAAACAAACATGTCAGCTCACAACAGAAAATAATTTTGTTGTTGTTGTTTGAAGTTAAGCACAAAGCTACATAATGGGATATCTGTGCTATGCCCACCACAGGTATGGAAACCCGGTTTTGAGCGTTGTAAGTCCGCAGACATACCGCTGTGCCGCTTGGGGCAGAAATAATGTCCAAGCATGACAGAAAAATAATTATAAATAAGCATTTATTATTTCGCATGCCAGACAACAATGTACAAACCAATGCAGCGACAGAATTATCAACGAACACATTATCTCACAACAGGCACCGCTGTCTAAGCTATTACAGTCGAAACAATTATCAAAACCTTGTCAGTTCACACCAGGCAACATTGTCTAAACTACTACAACCAAAAAAATGATCAAAACCTTGTCAGTTTACACCAGGCAACAATGTCTTAAGCATAAAAGTCGAATTACCTATATAATTATAACAGAGTTGTCCGTCTGGAGTCTTGACGTCTCAAGTATTTCTGAGGAAATGGATGAACCAATTGCGGAACCTCCAAACATCCAGTTTAATTGAATAAGCAATCATACAGACGAGTTCAGTTTGGCAACTAAATTCAATTTTTACCACAAAAAGCCGATACTAAATGAAAGTAACTATTGCTGTCTCGCGTATCATAGGAACCTAGGACTAATGGATAGGGTATTATGGTCATCCCAAATTTTGATTTCTCATATTCATTAGATGGCAAATAACGCATGCGCGCCGTCCAGCCATCCCACCGAATCCAAGGGTATAAATACCTTTGCTAGTTATGAATAAACATGTGAGCTCCTACAGTGCAACGATATCCTAATTATTATGGCCGAAGAGTTATCAATAAACATATCAACTTACAACAGACACAAGTTATACAGCCAAGCAATTTATGTATATATATAAAAAAAAAAAAACTCGTATTATTCAACAATATCCATATCATGGTAGCAGAATTATTATTAAAAAATGTATATGCTCGAAACTTTGACAGCTGGAAAATCATATTTTTAATTAATGAACTCATCACAACTAAATGTATGACACATGTTTTATGCCTTTTATATTACCATTAGAATTACTTTTTGAGTTCATATTTCTATACTCTTACTTTAATGAAAAAAATTGTAACAAAGTTTTCGAACAGTTGATTTTAGTTGACTTAAAGTTATATTTTACTGATGAATTTAGAAGGATTAGATGTTTTGGTCATGTGTCTAATATCTGATGTATAATTTAAAACAAGACTTCAAGGACCATCAATTTGATATTTTATCGTTGTTTTTTGTTATTTTTAATAAACGACTTGCTTTACATAAATTATCATAAAGAATCGTTATGTTTAAAAATTGAAAAACATAATAAAATTTAATAACTATTTTTTTTTATGAATTTGTTGGTTTTAGATTAAAAGCACAAAATTCCACAATGGGCTATCTGCGTTATGTTCACTGCAATGATCGAATCCTCGAAATTGAACTTTATAAACCCCCAAGCTAATCGCTGAGCAACAAGGGAGGGGGGGGGGGTTATTTCAAATAGTTTTGTTAAAATACAATGTGTTGATCTTGTTTCTTTTTACTTTACATATGATCTTCTTACTCTGGTTTAAAAACTAACAAAGTCTACAATTAACAACTGTGATAAAAAACAAACTTTTCTGTTCAGAGTTTTTTCTTCTACATCTGAATTCCATTGCTTTCGTTAACTGTAGTTTGCGTAAACCTTGTGACTGGCAGCCCGGAGAGCTAACCACTTGGCCACATCCAACAAGGAGACTGTAAAATGTTTATTAAATGACATGTTTTTACTCTCCTTGTGCCAAGTTTTGTTATATAGTTAGGTTGTGCAAGTACAAAAAATGTGTTGTATTAAGTTTCAACATGTAACAGTTCATTTCATTTATTCTCTGCTTAGTTTTTTCTTCAAAATTTCGTGCAAAGCCGTACATAATTATGAGTTGATAGACGAGAGAGAAGGCTACAAAGTGCCAAGTGTGTTTGTGCGACAAAGGACTCGAACTACTAAATCTCGAATTCAAAGTTCGGGTACGTAACAACTAGACAACACCCATCCTTACCTGTTTAAGATATAATAAGCAACATTGTTTCTTCAACAAGTGTTTTAAGAGTAAGCAGAATGTCTTATTTTCTCCCTATATAAGTTGAGTTGTTCGCCTGTGTGGCGTCTTGACGTCAAAAGTTGTTGAGGGATATAAGATGAAACGGTAGAGGAGCTAAGGTGATATCTTCCAAAGATGAAGTGTAAATGTGCAACCAAATAATCACTTCGAATTTAGCAACAATTTCAATGTTTATAACGTGAAGCTGATAACACTTGTATAAACATATATATAGCGAATGATGAACACGCGCGCCATCTTCGTGAAGCCACCGAAATAAATGTTACGAGATGCGCTAGTACATTGAATTGATAATAAAAAAATATATGTAAAGATAACCTCTAGATTCGTTAGAGTAAAGTGGAACATGTTCATTAAAAAATGAAAAGATACTATTTACCTTCAATGCATGATCCCAGTTCGTATCTTGTTCCTCCTTGTTTATCTATATTCACAACGCTCTCTGGTGAAGAATAGGAATCTTCAGGAGTTAGAAGGCATAAAGCACGGGCGTCGTCGAACATAAATGACCTACAACGAAAATCACTGTGTTCAACACAAGCTTTTCGACAGCGCTCCCTGGTGGTAGATGAAATAGACAGATAAACGTGTAAGTGGACTAGAATCCTGCTGCTTTGTTCATGAAAAATGCATTGACTCGGTTCTGTAAGGAGAAAAACACAGAATAATTTTCAACGTATAGCTACAAAGACAAAGAGACAGGCAGAGATTTGTTTTACGTTCTGCTGTTTCTTTACCTGAAATGCACTGGTTTTCAAGATAATCCACATCTTTAAATGACATCTTAAAAGCTTCTGGTGCAGATCGTCGATCGTGCATACTGAGGACGCAGTTTCTTGTAGCAAGTTCGTAGATGGCTGAGCGACAGACGAAGCTCTTTTCAATCGAACAAGCTTCAATACAACGATCTTCAGATCCAATGTCAGGTACAACCTTGTCTTCTTGTTTAACGAATCGGATTCCGGGAACAACATCAAATGCCCAGTGACGTTTACATTTGACACCTACAGCGAAAGAAATATAACGGTAATCCTGTCTTTCTTATGAATCTCTGAAGATGAAATAATGTTTCACTCAGAGCCAGAGAGAAATATGTATAGTACCTGGATTAATAAATTAATGAAAATATGGTTATTGAAGGATTAACGCAATAGCAAATAAAATTACGGGTAGAATAAAATCTGTATTAAAGTTTACAACGGAGAAAAAATATTTTAAGATATCGACTGGAATTAAAGGCGGAAAAGTGAATTGGTATTAACGGCAAACAAATGCTGTTTTGAAGATAAGGACTGATAAATACGGTTCTGAAATGACGGTTAAAAATATTGGCCTGGTGCTATAGACAAGAAAAAGCCGTACCAAATTTAATGGCTGATAAATATGACTTGGTGTATTGTAGATAAGCAACAGCTACACCAAAGTTAACGGCTGATAAACACTGTCTTGGTGTTATGAACAAGCAAATGCTGATAAACACTGTCTTGGTGTTATGGACAAGCTACAACCACAGACGAAGTTAACGGCTGATAAACACTGTCTTGGTGTTATGAACAAGCAAATGCTGATAAACACTGTCTTGGTGTTATGGACAAGCTACAACCACAGACGAAGTTAACGGCTGATAAACACTGTCTTGGTGTTATGACAAGCAAATGATGTAATACCAAAAAAACATCTAACATAGAAAAGTAGCTGGTTAAATGCTCCCTCTATTACAAACCATATTATATAGGAGAGACGTCGAAGATGCTCTTCTACGTTTTCGTAACACTAATCATATTTGTCAAGAAAATTTTAATATACCTAAATTCGCAATTATAAACTTTACATGTTAGGTGGAATACTTGGTTTTGTTTATTTAACAGCCAAGCCACATTGGGCTATCTTCTGTGCCCACCGCGGGGAATTGAACCCCAGGTTTCAGTGTTGTAAATCCATAAACTTATCGCTGACCAACCGGGGGACAGGTGACAGACGAAAACAATAACTTAGCTTTTCTTAGACGCCCAAGTAAACAAAATAAACAATCTTTTTGTCACATCTGTTTAGTGTAAGAAAACTTTTACATTCTTATACAAGACTCCTTCAAACGTAATCTTGTTTTAAATCTTTCAAACAGGGCATATAATATATGATCTAACTACTTTTGTCTTCACTCTGAAATTTCCAAAATTCATAACATATCACAAAGTAATGGTTATCCCTTTAATTTCTTACACTCTATCACGTGAACATTTCTAACAAATAAAATGGAACCTACCAAGAAGCCACAGACTGTTTCGAAATATCTACTACTTCTCATGAGCAAACAAAGTTTTAAATTTAAATCTCAAATTCAAAAAAATATAAATAAATAAACAAAGACATATCAAAAACTTCTCGCTTAATAGCTATTGTTGTTTTTTACAGATAAAATATTGTGAACTAAGTTTTTGAGGTTTTAATGATGGAATTTGAAACAATTCCGACACGTCTTTAATTAAAGATGTTTTTTGGTATTTCCGTGTTTCTAATACTTATTACAAAACAAACAAACGATGTATTGACATTAAAAGCTGACAAACACTGTACTGAAGTTACTGACAAGCAAGTGCCGCAGTCATGTTGACGGCTCACAAGTACAGTCATAAGACATTAGTACTAGGCCTATTACATTTTTAAACAAAACTTTCATTATCTTAGCGATTTTTAAGTATTAGAAGAGTGATAAATACAAACTCCTGTCAATGGCCATCAAACGGCCGACTAAACAACATGCTCAAACTGTTGAAACTAAAAACAATAAACTAAACTTGGAAAGGCATGATATGTAATTCTATGTATAATAACACATAGAATCACATGTCATGACCTTTATATTGGAGTACGATAGTAAGTTACCTGTACACTTAATATGTTTCGGCCTTAATATTTCCATTCTGAGCGTCCCCGCTGACGCTTAAAGTAACAGTTTCTTGCGCATTCTGAACGTTTTCTTGGCCACCTAGAGTAATGGTACCTACTCGGTTCGCCCTCCGATCCATAATTCAATAAATTCTGTTCCGAACATACTTTCGGACGAATGTAGAGCAACACGTTTTCTACCATCAGCGTATCCTTGGAGCGCAGAGTAACAGGTTTTACATCATCAGTGTGTCCTTGGACGTGTAAAGCAACACGTTTTACACCATTATAGCGTTCTTGGACGTGTACAGAACAACTTTGACACCATAATCGTGTCCTTGAACGTGTACAGAAACAAGTTTTCCACCATCAATGTTTCCTTGGACGTGTAGAGCAACATGTTTTCTACCATCAGCGTATCCTTGAACGTGTAAAGTAACGAGTTTTACACCTTAATCGTGTCCTTAGACGTGTACAGTAACGAGTTTTCCACCATCGGTGTTTCCTTGGACGTGTAGAGTAACAATTTTTACACCATCATCGTGTCTTTGGACGTGTAGAGTAACAAGTTTTACACCGTCATCGTGTTCTTGGACATGTACAGTAACAAGTTTCACACCACCATCGTGTCCTTGGACGTGTAGAGCAACACGTTTTCTACCATCAGCGTATCCTTGGACGTGTAAAGTAACGAGTTTTACATCATCAGCGTACCCTTGGACGTGTAAAGTAATGAGTTTTACATCATCATCGCATCCTTGGACATGTACAGTAACAAGTTTCACACCACCATCGTGTCCTTGGACGTGTAGAGCAACACGTTTTCTACCATCAGCGTATCCTTGGACGTGTAAAGTAACGAGTTTTACACCATCAGTGTTTCGTTGGGCGTGTAGAGTAACAAGTTTTCTACCATCATCGTGTCCTTTGACGTGTAGAGTAACAAGTTTTACACCATCAGCATGCCGTTGGTCGTGTAAAATAACAATTGTTCTACCATAAGCATGCCGTTGGACGTGTAAAATAACACTTTTTCTTCCATTAGCACGCCGTTGGACGTGTAAGAGTATTTTCTCTACCGACAACAATATAAGTGTTCTGAAGTTTTCTAAAGTAAATATGTAATGATATGTTCCCTGGTATCGAACTGTACTGTAGATTTACAATATATTTTGTTTGTAATTATGCACAAAGCTACACAATGGTCTATCTGTGCTCTGCCCACCACGGGTATCGAAACCCGGATTCTAGCGTTGTAAGTCCGCAGACATACCACTGTGCCACTGGGGGGGCATTTTACAATATATACAGTAAAAGTATGAAAATTGAGCTTTATTGTCAGTTTATTTTAATATTATTAGGGGTAATGCCACTCTTACCCCCTACGTTTGGTGTCCCTGCCACTTTTATATGTAATGTCTTATATAATAATAAATAAATATAAAATATGTATTTCAGCAAAATGTTTGATATTGAGGATTAACACTAATATAAAATCTCTATCTCTAAACACGCTATTTATATTTTACTTACATTTATTTTCACTGTATTACTATACATACAAACTAAACAACAATATGATTCACATCAAAACAACCACAACAAGAAAAGGAGACATAGGTACCTGATAGACATATCTTCCTATGATAACTGCCAGCTTGGTAACGTTTTAGCTGGGGTCGGATGACCGAGTGTTCTTCTTTGGTTAGTATACAAGTTTGGTTGATGTGATCCAAAAAGTAAGCTTTACAATCGTCGTTACGATAACAAAGACTGTAACACTGGGTGTGATCAGTCTGGGCGAGTGCTAAGTAGTCGTCTGATCCTGTGTACACACTCGCTCCTACTGTGACGGACGATGTTCGAATGAAAGTCGTCCCTCCTCGTGCACAGCCAGCTGGAAGTATTAAACATAGATTAATCTTGCGGTCTTGGTTTTGTTTTTTGGAAATATAATGAAACAGTAGATCATTAAAATTAATTTTAGCAATATTACGGCAATTCCTAACGTGAATGCTAAACTCAAAATAAATTGGTTGTTTGTAATTAAGCTCAAAACTACACGAAGGGCTATCTGTGCTTTGCCCATCACGGGTATCGAAACCAGATTTCTATCGTTGTAAATCCGCAGACACACTGCTCTGCCACTGGGGCCAAAACGGAAGTGTTCTGTTCTGCTAATTACCATTATTTTAAACTAATCTGTATTTTTAATGCCCGAGTATTTTGATACACACTAGATAACGTGCTTAAGCAAAATAATATACACGAACTAAGAATGCTTAATTAATATAAAAGACTACTTCACAATGCTTAACAAAACTATTGGATTCAACTGTAAACCATACAGCTGCAAACTTTGTTATGAAATAATTTACAGGAGTACAAACAAAAACTATATTACCTAAACCTACAATATACAGGAGTACAAAAAAACTGTATTACCTAAACCTACAATATACAGGAGAAGAAACAAAAACTGTATTACCTAAACCTACCCCCCACCCGCAATCCAAAGAACAAAAGCAAAAACATTGAAACACGTACATAAAAGGATTGATGGGAAATGATATAACCGCAATCATTATATATTCATGACGTGGGCTTTGGAATTTATTGTGGACTAATACTCAATATAATTGATGATATTTTTAACCATTCTGCAGATAGAAATTTATATTCGGTATTAATTTTACCCGTCGTCGTCGATGTTGTTGTTGTTTTCTTAGCGCACAACGGATTGTATGCACTCTGTCCATCCTGGAGAATCGGCCCCTGAATTTTAGCGTTTTAAATCTATAAACTTACCTCTGATCCACCGAGGATCCTAACTGCATGATATGTCTGTATGTATATATATATATAAGTTAAAGATTGACGTCATCAGTAGTATTTATTAATCCAATAGAATTACTAATGGGATCAGTTCATCGGTCTCGCAGTTTTTTTTAAACATGTCTGTTTGACTTTTTGAGCACCAAATTGTTTTGGAGTCAATGACCTTGTTTCCTACATGTTCCTAATTATCACTATTACAATTAATCTCACTAATTAGTGCTCGAGTCCCCTCTGTATTTTACCCAGAAAAGGAATGATTTTAATACATTTTTTATGAATTATTTACATTGGGTATTGTAAGAGGTAAGAAATATGAAATTACTGAAGATGGTATAATATGTAGACACCATCAACAACGACCTGCATAAAAACAAGTCGGTGGTTTGAGGGTTAAACAACAAAAGACTAATTTAACGCTAATTTATTGTCACTTAAAAATTATGATTACGGTTACATAGAAACATACAAATTAGGTAGAATATGTTGATACCTGTTATGCAACTGAATACAAGAACTTAAACGTATTGTTTATCGGTTGTCAGCAGATCAGCTGATTGTTTAAGTTTAAAAGTTTATCTTCAGCTGAAGGTTCTTTTTTAAGTGATTATAATTGATAGTTATTAAGTACAGTCACTATCATTACTCACCGCTATTAACGTAGCCAGGCATTCCATTCCATAGGAAAACCAGTATCAGAACGCCTCGACAGAGAACTGAGCCTAAAAAATAAAAATGAAAGCATTAATTGACACTATTTATTCAGATATGAAGTGTGATTGATGGTCGCGGATAAGGAAAAAACAAAACTTGTCCAGGGAGTGCCGTCAAACAACGCTTTTTATAATTTATACAGGAAATTGCATTATCTATTATTCGACTGTTTTTTTATATTTATTTTAACGGAATTCTGTTTCGTTTTCACACACCCACACATGTATATATATATATGAGACTCTTCATCCTAATCTGAATATATCTCATTATTTACAAGTATAAGAAAAAAAAAACTATCGCTAAATATAAAAAAGCTATGTAGGGCTGGCTACTGAATTTGAAAAAGGAAACCAAACAAGAAAGGAATGGAAGCAGACATATCATTTGAACCTTTTTTTTTTCGAGTTCAGTAGCCAGCTGTACATGGATATTTTAATGAGCAATACATTTTTATCCCAATACTTGTTTGTTTACTTTTTATAAGATGGCGTACGTGGGTTACTAGGTTATAAAGTGTAATCTAAACTTTATAATTTTTGCATGTAATAACAGTAAAATAGGTAGTCAAAGATCGTGAAGACTGTTTTGCTCTATCAGATGATGATAAAATTATAGTTACTACTATAATTACTTAGGCGCTAGGTATCGAAAGAAAATATGGCATCTTAGTTTTGGCTATTCGCCGGTTTTCGACTTTGAGGAACTCTGCTTAGCTGAAAAGCGGTATTTACACCGAAAATAAATCAACTATGCCAGGTAGTTCTTCATATCTAGTTTCTGATGACCTGTAGAGAAGAAAATTCAGAAGACTTTTGTATTGCTTTAATACAGGTTTTTGTGTCATCCCTAGCGCACTCTCCGATACACGTTCAGGTGGCTCAGCGGTATCTGCTTTTTTGTTAATTTCCGGTAGAAATTATTTCCGAGGAACTTCGGCTATACAAGTCCTTTCTTGATTAAACCAGTTTATTCTTTCTCGATACAAACTTAAGTGCACAGTAATTTCACAATCAGTACGTTTCTCGTCACATTAACCTAACTACTTTTATGATAAGTCACAGCGATTCACAATCTCGAAAACTTCGCTATCACACGCTAGCTCGAAACAGAATCGTAAAATACCCGGAACTCTCTTCATTCAATTTCCGCAGGCTTTCCCTGCCAGGCTTATATACCAAAAAAGAGTGCGTCTCGGACAAACTCGGTCCTCCCCGATAATTTTTGACCATTCGAGAAATTCATCACGTGTTACCAGCGTCACGTGACTTCCGCTGTCGTAACATAACTATTAGGCTAAGATTCTAGCTTGGATTTCCTTGTGTAGCTTTGCGCTTCACAGGAAAACATTATTTATGTAAAATTGTGATTTATAACGTGATCAAGCGACACCAATATATCAGATAGATATAATAAACTGTATAAACTCTCCTTATATACATGTGGATATTAAGTCATCTCGAACGAAATTAACCATTCCTCCTTTTTTGTTATATGATATAGCTTATTTTCATAGCGTATTCCATTTTAAAACCTATTAATTCATAGACAGATATATACTTTTAATGTCCGATATGTATACTGATTGAAATCGAAGATCAAGCTTCTTAGTATTTGTTTGTTTGTAATTGAGCACAAAGCTACACAATGGGCTAAGTGTGCTCTGATTGAAACCCGGTTTCTAGCGCCATAAGTCCGCAGGCTGTATCACTGGGGGGCGATTTTTAGTAAAAAAGTATGATATTATCCGTAATAATAATAATGATTTCCGGTGGCACAGCTAGAAACCGGGTTTCGATATGTATAATGGTCACAAAACAGATAGCCCATTGTGTAGCTTTGTAGTTAACTATAAAGCAAATAATTATAATAAAAGACAGCTTTAGTCACGCTGGTCCAGTGCCATACCACAATCACAATAGTAATAAGTCAAGCAAAGGTCTCACCCACACATTTAAATCACAACTCAAGTTCTAATATTTTCATTGTTTATGAAATATTGTCATAATGCCCCAGTTTTTAATATTATCGTACTAGAAACCAATAATTTAGAACTGAAACGTAATGATATTTCTAGAAAGCTTAACACCAATCCGTTGTCATTTTTGAAAACTATTATTTAAAATAGAATAAAAATCTTTAAGCCTCAAAATATTATTTTTTAAACTAAATTCTCCACCTGGAAAATATTGCTCACAATGATTTGTAGAAGTAGTTTCAAAATAACGATATTGTAACTGTTTTAATCTATGCAAATTTCCGTTTTGTAAATAATCTTATCCGTGGACCTTCTAAACTGAGTTTCAGATTAACCCGAACTTAAAAAACGCTTACAAGTAGCGTCATAATGTATGAAATATTTGTATTTTAGCGATTTCACGTCGAGCTGTATTCGCTTGTCATGGTTGACTGAGATCCCACCAAAGGGTGAAGTGTTATTAGAATTATTACCAAGAAAAGTAGCGCTCGTGTAAACTGCCCTTACGTCTACCTCCTCAAAACTTGAAGATACAGGTATATGTGTGTGTAAGATTACACTAGAAACGAACATATGCCATATATATACACTAGTAACCCTTCCCCTCCCTGTTGGAGGTAAGAAAAAATTGCTGAAAGTTGATTGGTCGGTGCTCTTTGCTTCCACGCTCGATTTACTCGCATGGAAAAGTAAGTTTTTTTTTGTTGTTTTTTTTATACTCGTGTCACGTTTCACGAGGCTGAAACTCATTAAATGTGTACTGAAGTTGCTGCAAATATTATACGATTTGTGTGATCCTTGTATTAGTTTTGTGAGAAATATTACCTTTGTTGGTGATGAAAATAAACCAGAAATGTAATCAAAATAAGAAATGTTTCTAATAATATTTTTAAAACTAGCATTTTGCTTCAATTGAAATCCCCAAAACGCAACTTTTCTTGATTGTCGTGAAATGAAAAGTTTAATCTGCTAGAAAATATTATTTTCTGGCTGAAAGTCAGTTTGGAATAAAATGTTTTGTGAATACTTCTTATTACGCTTTTTGAAAAGTTTCAAGTCAGCCTCAGAGTTAACTGTCAATACTATAAAAATGTTTTACTATATTGGTACGATTTACAAAGCTTGCGTTAGTAATTTGGCTTTGTAAAAACTACTTGACCCACTGTTATAGACAAATGTAATTTTTCTAATCTTATCGAATCAGCTAAGAATACCAAAGTTGCCACAGTATAGGGACAACTGTGGCATTCGTTCCATGTTGTCTAGCAGGAAAAAAAGTCGTCACGATTTAACTGGTATGGGTTTACTCTTTAGTGACAATTTAGGAAGAGGTAGAACTGATATTGATAATGACGTTGTTGTCTAATAGGGTATAAAGTTGCCATGTTTTAACTGGGATGGGTTTACTCTTTAGTGGCAACTTAGGTAGAGGTAAAAGTGATATTGACAACGACGTTGTTCCCTAATAGGGTATAAAGTTGCCATGTTTTAACTGGGATGGGTTTACTCTTTAGTGGCAACTTAGGTAGAGGTAAAAGTGATATTGACAATGACGTTGTTGTCTAATAGGGAATAAAGTTGCCATGTTTTAACTGGGATGAATTTACTCTTTAGTGGCAATTTAGGTAGAGGTTAGCATTGACGTTCGTTCCATGTTGTCCAACAGCTTATAAAGTTACCTTGTTTTAACTAGAAGGGGTTCACTTTTTAGTAGCAGTTCGGTCAGGTCAGTGATATTAGCATCATTCTCGAAAAACGTCCGATGACAAAGTTTCAGTCACCTGCACAAGGAATGTCATCTGGTAGCAGTCCTTTAAAAGGAAGGGCTGATTACTGCATATGGTTTAAATCACTAATGTTATCACGGAATGCTTAGTAATTAAGCATACTTGTTATTATAGAAGCTAGTTTTTATTTCTGAGCAAAATACTATAATGAAGTAATTTTTCCATATAAATTTCTTTGAGAAATCACTGTCTAACTATTCAGCTAATTAACTTTTAGTTCATCGACTTTGATAATGCTACTCGGTAGCTACTGCACATTAGTGCTTTAATACTCTGTATAATGATAAGTCTGCTTATTACGGATATTCCCGCAAAGCTACACAAGGACTATCCGTGCTAGCCGTCTATAATTTTGAACTGATAAGCTAACCTAATAGTGGAATTTGACCGTCACTTTTATAACGCATCCATAGCTCCTAGGTGCGGAGTGTAATCCATAAGGATAAGAGTGTAATTGTTTAATCATTATTATAATTTAAGTCAACGGAGCTGCAATTTCAAAATAGGTTGTTCTTCTGAGAATTGCTGGCTGAAAGCTGGTGTTGACGAATAATCAAGATAATGTCTTTAATTAGTCGTCAAACTTCCTTTAAACTAACAAGTCTGCACACCTTCTTTTTATGTTATGATATTATTTATTACTTATCTAAATGATTTATGAGTTCAAACCGAGAGTTGACACCCTTTACTAACAAATGTCCAATGCATTAGCTTTGTACAGGTAATAGTTCACCTTCAACCTAAACTAGAAGTTTACACAAGAGCATGATACGTTATATTAAATCGATACTGAATACTCAAGTCGCGGCGGAACGCCATGCATCATGAATCACGGTAGTGATTCATAATAGGAGTCGCCTATTAGTTCTTCTTTATTATTATTTAACATTGTTCTGTCAGCCTACAGCAATAATGGCTATGAGTTTTGTAATGCAAACTGGGCAATATTACTAAACGCATCATAGTGCATTGTTTAGGGTAGTTCTTAAGTTTATTTGACTACCTAGCAAATAACAGCAACTGTATAACCATTAACACTCAATAGTTTTAATGTTGTCTGTGGTTTATATGGAGCATCATAATCTACTACATGCATGCGTATATAGCTACGTGCAGGCCGTGGATATACCTTAACGTTTATATGGCAGGCATGACACATGTACCATAGCGATTATTAACTTATTGTTTCAACTGTATTGATGTTGCGTATCATTTGTTTGTATATAGGGTTTCTGGCCTTTCG